GATGATCCAGGGCCTGGCATTGTATATGTACCGTCTAAAAGACGTAATTACTCTGTGCATAGGGAGAGAAGAGTTAGCTAATTGCATTTGGGATGCCCTGTTATTGGATGTGTACTCATGAAAGAATCTCATTTGATTCTTCATATTTGTTGATCTAGGTTTATCATCATTGGATTTTTTTAAGATAAGGCTTGGTATCTGGGTCTTACCACTTACCCTTCTTTTGTTCCAGGGTTTGGTTAATAAAAGCACTAAGAACTGTGCCAAATGGGATCAAAATATCAGCTTTATTAAAGGTAAAGTTGGAATAGAGATTGCAGTTTGGGCTGGAAGCCACAATGGGGTTTTCCACTCCTTCTCTCTGAATTGGAAACAGTAGAATGAGAAGAGCTCAAGAACCTTAATCTACTATCACTCCTCCAGGGAATTAGAGCAGGAGTTCCCTTTCCTTGGTAGAGGGAAAGAGAAAAGAGGAAATAGATACTCTCAGAGGTTCTCATTCTTCCTCTGATGGCAAAAGTGTTGAGAGACAGGATAAGGTGTATCATGTAATTCCTAACCTATCCCCAGCAGTAAGATATACAAGCATGGAATTTTATAGATCAAATTATTAACTTTAAAAATAAGGTATTTTTGTTTTTAAAAAGTAAAAGAAGACATTGGGGAAAACTTTAACCTTCTGATTTGATTGCATGCTTAGATTCTTTGGTTTGCTAGTAACAGTAACTGGCTAGTGGTACCACAGGTAAATTAACTGGGATGATTCTAGGGTAACCCACAAAACTGAAGGAAGAGTTGAAACAACCAACCAAGTCTTTGGAAAGACGAGAAGCAGAGAACTTCAGATTTCAGAAGCAGGAACTCATCAGCCTTCTCACAGTGGTATCATCCAGTGCCTCGGTTCTCGGTGCCTTCTTTCTTTTTAGATCCCTGGTCAAAATTTAGATCCAGAGAGAGAGTCTGACTGGTTCAGCTTGGGAAAAGTACCTGTCTCTAGACCACAGTCACTCTAAGAGGGATACGGGGAATTATAATTGTTCTGGCCCCTGCGGTGAGGGGAACAGAGCAGGAGAGAAAAAGGTGGGAGGTGGAGAAACTCTGCTGAGCTGACCCAAGAATAACAACCGTACATGCATTTATTCAGCCGTTAAGTGCCTCCCGTGTGTCATGTGCTGTTGTATGTAAATGGTAAGGACTTGATAACGATAAAGTCCTTACTTTCATGAAGAATACATGTACGTTCTACCCATAGAACTATAGGAACACAGGAAAGACATTTACTCCAGTGAAGTTTTGAGATGTTTCTTAGAGGTACTGATATCTTACTTTAGACTTACAGGCTAAGTAAGAATTAGCCACATTAAAAAATAATAATTTTATATTCAAAACCTCAAATTTTGACAGTTATTCATGGCCGTTAAGTGACTATGTTGACCCTTCTCCATTGTTGACCTTACTCATAATTTGAGCTTAGCTGTACACCTCCCTGTGGCCCAAGTTACCAGTGAGGTCACTAGTGTCGATCTTAGTAGACTTCCTATTGTGTCTGGAAATTTTATTTTCCTGGTTCCGTCCTTTCCCCTTGACACATATTTAGAGAAATATAAATATAAAGGTTTAGGCATATGTATA